TGGCTGTATCCTCACGGAAGGTTAGAGTATTGTAAATTTACTGTCCTCCTGAGAGGAAACGTAATTCCCAAAACATTCAAAGTATATGTTGATCTACCACAATCATTAATCGTCATATGTTTGTTGTTTTATGTGATTGCTAAAAATTCAGTTCAATCGCCAGCGACTGAAGGAAGGGTGTAAATCCAGCTATGGTCCATGCAAGTGAGTGAGTGAGTGAGTGAGTGAGTGAATATTGTCTGGTCCAGACTCGATTATTTACAGACCGCAGCCATATATTGCTGAGTGTGGGGTAAAACTAAACTCACTCATTCACGATCTGGCTGACATACTGCCGCTGGGTATATGCACTTTAACTCACTCACTCACTTACTTAACTTGATGGATTGGGGCTTGTTTTGTTCATTGATTGTCTCACGATTGTATCCAGGTAGTTAATTATTGAATAGATAATAGAACAATCAAACAATTTCAGATGCTCTTCTGTGTAGTCTACTAATATACTTTGGAATGAATTATCACTGTATAGTGTCGTTTTTACTTTGAACAAAGTGAATCCAATTGTCGATTTGAAAACGTCTTATTGTAACTGTATAAAGAGTATGTTGATACATGTTTTTTCCCCTCTGTTTAGGGTACAGAATATCTTGTCAAGTTGCAGGGGTATCCATTGAGCAGTCGACCTGGGAACCACGTTCCAACCACATCCAACATTCCTGTGACCTACCCGAGATATTTTCCCATGACGCTAGGAAGTCGATTCCGTCAAGACTAAAGAGTCGGGGCCTACTGTCACCTGTCATTTAAACGTGTTTAGGGCCTTATTTAGGACTGACAGAGCAATTCTTCTAGGTTGAGAAGAACTAGAACATGTGTCTTCCACCCTACTGGTGGTATAGCATTAACAAACACGGAAAAGAAGAAGAAGAAGAAAATTAGTTTATTAAGGTGTCACACATTGTTTTTACAACCAAATTCAATAAAAGTACATGTAATGAAAAATGTCCATATGGCCTATATGATACATCAAATACATAATTGTGAAATATTTGCCATTAAAAACCTATGCCCATATCACAGCTCAATGTATCTCCCTGCCGTGGGTACCGACCACCGTACTGTGCGAGAACACCAGCATGTTCTAGTTACTAGCTAGAGGGTGTAAGTCACGCAACGCCCATGGTACTGAGAAATGATAAACGTTGCTAATCCCAGAACCGCCTTGCTGACGTCATCCCCCAGGGACATCAGCACCCACGACAGGCCGACAACAAAGCACGTATACACATTTAAAAGGTTGAAGACATATATCTCAAACATGAGCGGGATGTGGTAGATACTGCTTATTGTCGCCGAGCAAATTACCGGCGCTTGTACATTTTAGTAATGGAGTTGCTCGTGTTATCTGTGAAAAACCTGGATGAACTGATTCTATTTCTTGCCCTATAGCATATCGCAAATCTGAATACAAACTGCAGTGAAGTGTACTTCAACTCTAACCACATTTTCACTGCAACATTTGCAAATACGAGTTTTCGGACGAGCATCTCCGAGGAGACAGTTGTCTTTCAGACTCGCACAAGAGCTTGCACCTTGGCCCTGATCCATCGTTAAGTAATAACCATTCCGATATATGTACGATGTTTTGAACATTCACTTGTTGAGTTGTGTGATTTTTGGTCATTTTCCTAATATTTTAAGTTCTTGAAATATACACACTGTCATTCAACCTGAGGACCTTACGATTGAGTCAGTTCAAGGACACTGTTTTAAGGTGAACCAAGCCCATGTATCAACTTGAAATACCTTAGGAACATTTGCGTCTTTGCAAATGACAAATCTCTTACTCAAAAAATTGAACCAAGCAAAGAACTGTATGACAATTTAACAATGGTTGACATCCGGAACTCTCAGCTTGCTTATATTATGATTCACCAGAATGATAGAGAAGAAACCAGGCTAGCTACCCAATCTGGAATTGTATGTCGCAAATTGAAGAAAATGAAAGGAGGGAAACAGAAAATCAAATGTGAGAAAAACATATACACCATGGCCGTATTGGCCAGGGAGTTGGTGAAGTCCTCAGATATGAATAATGATCAAAGAATTTGACTCGAAGAGCGTGGAAGTGGAAGATCGCTGTCCGGAAATGTGGTGCTCTTTAAGCACGAGGCAAAGCGAATTTTCCAATTGAGTGTTTCTCCAAAAGACATTTAATGCCACCAAGACCTGCAAAAGAACATTGCAAAGAGTTATCTCCCATGACACCATTTTTCAGAGCCTGGCAATGACGTGGCAGTTACATCGGGGATCGTCTCAAAACATGAAAAAAAGAAAGCTTGATGAATTCGATAGAAGGATTGTGAGGGACGTCATGTGTCGGTTACATCGATCCAATGAGTCCATATCTTCAAGCAAACTGAAGAAATATTGTTCAAAAGAAGACCATGACATCAATGTATCAAAGCGTACCATATGCAAGCTCTTGCTCAAATTTGGATATAGATACAAGAGATTGAGCAACCAGTCTTTAAAGACTTCAATACATCTACTTGTTTAAGATGGATTTGTGATGATTATACAGGCCCATTTAGATTTGCTTGCAGGCGTAACAATGTAAACAACATGCACGCGTGTCATACCATGTTGTTTGCTTTTCCATCGTATCATTTTACTCCCTTGTATAACTACTTCTATTTTTTTTATTTTTATAAGATGGCTTCTAAAGGAGAAGTTTTAATAATTGACATAAAATTATGAAATTTAAACCTTAGATAGGTCATAAGATATAAAGAGCGTATGCACAAAAACATTTTGAAGGCATTTTTGGATAAAAGGTAAATTGTGAAAAACAGGGTGCCAAAAGTTCAGTTGACGGACTATAGTCATCGACAGTCGAGACGACGACTCACACATATTCAGGAGTAGTCCGAGAAAACACTGAAATGTTTTTTCACGAATATGGGTTAACACCCAAACGGCTTACATTATCGAATGGTGCTGGTGCGGATATTAACATTTCTCATGGCAGATAACACTGCAGGTAATGACTAATTCACTGCCAAAACGGAAGGACTCTTTCCGTCTCAGTTACAGCACTTCTTAAATCTGGTCTGAGATTGTGGCCAGGGCATTCAGTTAGATAAGGTTTCACTGTCTCGCGAATATTTTTATCACTGCGCGTACACCGAGGTGTCTTTACGAATGGCACTGTGTTCAAGTCACAGTGTTCCAGACGAAGTGTAGTAATTATGACTTCCTCAAGTTTCTTAGTCGACTAATTGACTGTTCTACTGGAACAATCATACAGTTGAAACTTCTTCATCAATGAAACTGCGGTAAGTATTTAATCCATAGTGTTCAAGATGAAGTCTAGTAATTATAACTTCCCCACGTTTCGTAGACGAATTGTCCAATTTGATTTTACAGAAGAACAAACGGACCAAATCGCTTGTTTGGGGTATGAATTCTGATATCGTTACTTCAGGATTAACGCAGTTGGTCTGTTATCTCACATTTCCCTGTAACCCACCATGAACTGGAATTCACACAATATCACTAATAATATGCTTTGAGTTCAGAATTGTACCAAGCAACTTAAACAAGGTCCATTACAAAAATAAATTTATTGATGTTGAAAAGAAGCACAAGTGAATTAGGAGATTCCGACCCTGAACCTCATGAATTGCTTTATTTAGGGGTTTTGGGCATACAGAAGCGTTAGATAACGTGGCTCAGGTACTGTGGGACAGACTAGATTGCTTGTAATCAACGGTTGTGATATCCCATTGCCGCCACACAAACCTGCAGGTTGCCCCATGGATTCTATACTTAGACATCTGAGTAAACCCCTCACCTATCCCTATCCAAGTCAAATCACAGGCCCTCGTGTCTTTGCGAGGATTAATGATTTAAAAAATATTGTTTTGAGATGACCCCCGACTCGAAATGCTTCACAGCATATCACATTATGACAAGGCCGGACACTTCGGTGCACCCTACCCGACTGCTTTGCCGATCGCTACGCTACAAATCGTATACAATCGATTAAAACTTAATGTAAACATAATCATGGATGACTGGCCTATCGTGCACCACTCATGACACCTACCCATTCTTTATTGTTCTTTCTGCAAGTCGATTGAAACCCGATTTTGACTCTCAGCTAAACGATCTTGACACAAATGGATGATCATATATCCGCACAAAACGTGGGTGTGGTCGAAGCAAGCTCTCTTGCAAATACAATTTTTTAAAAATATTTTATAAAATCTTTAATCCTCGCAAAGGCACGAGGGCCTGTTGTCAGAATGAGAGTACATGTATCCAACCAATCAGACACACAACAGATTCACAGAAAAAACAACAACAACATTTTATCAGTTGCATCTGTATATTGTTATATACACGTGATGCGATAACAGCAAGTAACAGTTTGGACACACAACAGATTCACTGAAACTGACTGACTGACTGAGTTTAGTTTTACGCCGCTTTTAGCAATATTCCAGCAACATCACGGCGGGGGACACCAGAAATGGGCTTAACACATTGTGCCCATGTGGGGAATCGAACCCGGGCCTTCAGCGTGACGAGCCAACGCTCTAACCACTAGGCTATCCCACCGCCCCTCCAGATTTGAGGTGAGGTGAGGTGAGGTGAAATTGGGTTTAACGTCGTGCTTGAGAATATATATGACGACGATAAGTTATGTGGATCCACGAACAGGAAGTGTTCCTGATCGTGAAAAATGGAAGCCTAATCTACAGCGTGTCGTCAAATGTTGTCATAGTCGCCACTATTACAGGGGGATATATTTGATATTATACAAACAAACCGCAACATTAAACAAAAGGCTTACAGTAAGTTAGTCAGCTCGGATTTCAGAACAGGCGCAGTCAAAAAGGATCAAGGTCCACGTGATATGAAAATAATCCTGCTACAGTTGTTTAATACCATATCAGTACTTAAACGGATTATTGCAAGTGTTCGGGCGGGCTTGTACGGACGATAGTGTCATGGTGTTTTGTCTGTTGTTAGCTTGGCCTTGAAACTATTTACATTTTGAATTAACATACGTAGAGTCTTAAAGCCGACACGATGCATATGTAATTAGCTGTAATGGTAAACCCATTGGAATGTCAAAGGCGGAGTGATTTTTTGACGACTAGAACATTCGTGTGCACCCCTTAATATTCGACCTGGGTTACAGAATCTCCAAGTAACCCATACCATCCCCTCCATTTCTACTGACAGATGAATACTTGGTGAAAGAAGAGCACATGTTATTTGATCACGAGGCAAAAAGGTGCCATTATCACGAGTTGGACACAGTTGTGCAAGGTTGCACGTCAGACACTTGTCATTGTGGGTTCAGTTTCGTTGAAGAAACAAAGACCGACATGGCGACTCGAGACGTATTTGCGTTACTGTACTTGTGCGGTATTGTCGGGTGCTGGGCCCAAGGTGAGCTCCATTTCCATTCATACTAGTGTGAGTGTTCCGCCGCTTTTAGCAATATTCCGGGGTATATGTGCAGTCTGTCCCCCGCTCCTGAAATATTCCAGAAACATTGTGGGCAACGTTCACTTTGGGTGGTCAGACAATCAGAGAAGCTCCGGGGTAGAATAGGTCTTCAGCAACCCATGCTTGCCACAAAAGGCAGCTATTCTTGTCGTAAGAGGCGACTAACGGGATTGGGTGGTCAGGCTCGCTGACTTGGTTGACACTTGTCATCCGTTCCCAATTGCGCAGATCGATGCTCATGCTGTTGATAACTGGATTGTCTGGTCTAGACTCGATTATTTACAGACCGCCGCGATATAGCTGGAATATTGCTGAGTGCGTAAAACTAAACTCAATTACCCACTCAGACCCTTTTGATTTCCGCTCAGTGTTGTCTCATGAAGACCACCTCTATTCTGGAACATGTTCGATAAACCACGCCTCCATGGCAGAAGCAAACCGTGGACATGGGTCACTCTGGTGGCTCGCAGTCTCACGTTGCTCGTCTATTCACTATTGATCACAATTTGATAGTGACTCCTTTAATTCTATTGTACATTTGCTATAAATATGGAAAGTGTTTCGTCACTTCCAACACACCAAAGACAAATAACAAACAAACACACACACACACACACGCACACACACAATCGACATTTATAGAGAATCTCACCTTCGTGTCTTTTGATATCAAATATATCAACACGAATTGATAAAGTTGGAAAACTCCGAGGCATATTGTGTGGCTTATGGTGATACATTTGATATCAAAAGACACGAGGGTGAGATCCTACTTATCATCCAATATCATCCAATATCATCCATAATTTGTCGTTCAAGAGGAATTAAAAACGAAATGTGACCTGTAGGAAGTTCATTTGAAGACTACATCCAAGTGAACAAGAGTGATGGAAGAGGGAACAAGTGACACCTTTACGTCATAAAAACAACCATACAAAAGGTAGTGCTAACATGTATTGCTTTAAATTCTGCAATGCACAAGTTTCACCGTTTCTTGTTGGTATTTTAAGTGGTTCCATCAATTGAAACTTTGTCACCTGTCAAAAATGACTTATTGAGACGGCCACCTTTGTTCATAGCTAAGGGAGATGAAAGTAGTCCGAAAATATTGACCAATCAGCATTTACCTCAAAACTTAGCAAAACAATACCTCCTAGGAGATATCGCCTGATCTTCTACAAGCGATATCGCCTCTGGAAACCAGTATTGTATGATCGGTCCAAGGGTTTTGAGTCATGATGGGTTGCACACATCAGTGCTTCATGGTCGAAATAAATAAATAAACAGATTTAAACTATTTGAACTTTGAACTGCTTCCCCACCCGGATATGTTCGCGTTGTTGCGCAAAATTGATTTGGGGTTGACCTCAGTCGTGACGGAAGCATGATAAAACGAGACGGAGATCCTGGTCTGATTTTACAACAGACGTGGTCAACATGGACAGGTTCAGGGTTTTGTTGGTGTACGTTGTGCTTCCAATGACAACACCATACGAAGGTAGGCCGCCAATGTGTGATTCTTATGCGATAAATATATCAATGGAAGATTTTCTTAAGATAATGTAAATTGAAACATAGATGATGTTTAGAGTATTTATGTAGGGATTCATCTTGGGGCAAAAGTTACGGTTACTGCTTCCTCATATTGGTTCATCATTGGGTTTCATTTTCTATCCATTTTCTTAGATGTAATTACAACGTGTCACATTTCGTAATTGTGTTATGCGACATGACTTCAGCATTATTGTTTCTTTGTTGTTTTACGCCGCACACCGCAATATGGCAGCGGTATGTTAATAGTCTGGAAAGACAATCCAGTGATCAACAGCAAGAGTATCATTTCGCAATAGAATCAACCTTTTGAGTCGTTGTACGACACTGACCAAGGATTTGTTTTTAAATCAACACTTTCCCCCACATTACTCAGAATTCATAAACTTAATATAAACGTGCGTGTCAGTATAGTACTAGGTGCCTCACTATCATAAAAGTCAAATTATATTTTCGATTGCAAGTTTATTTACTTGTTTCCTGTTTGTCCGTTAGCCAGCAGTATATCTGTTGAATATAGCTTGATATCGACGCTGAGAAATATCTTTTATTGTCCATTGTTGACATCTTAAAGCTTTTCATTGACTGAGGTGATCCAGGTGACTGAGTGAGTTTAGATATACGCCGCGTTTAGCAATATTCCAGTAATATCACGGCGGTGGACACCACAAATGGGTTTCACACCTTCTACCAATTTGGAGTAGCTAGCCCGAGTTTTTGTTGTGACGAGCGAACGCTTTAACCACTAGGCTACCCGCAGTCCTACATATCCAGGTGAGCTAACCAGTAAGCTACCCGCAGTTCCACATATCCAGGTGAGCTAACCACTAGGCTACCTCACAGCTCCACATATCCAGGTGAGCTAACCAGTAGGCTACCTCACAGTCCTACACATCCAGGTGAGCTAACCACTAGGCTACCTCACAGTCCCACACATCCAGGTGAGCTAACCACTAGGCTACCTCACAGCCCCACATATTCAGGTGAGCTAACCACAAGGCTACCTCACAGCCCCACACATCCAGGTGAGCTAAACACTAGGCTACCTCAGAGCCCCACATATCCAGGTGAGCTACAATGTCACGAATCTGTTTTGAAATGAATAATAATATCCTGTTTCAAGAGACGCATCCCTTCAAAGTGTAAATCTATCTTAAACAATGTTAAAACCATGTCTTTATCTTCGTGTATCGTTTTGTCATAGGTATGGAGGCCATCGTCGACATCGTTTATCCAGACATCTCATCTGGAAACGTCACCTTCTGCCGACTGCAGGACTCCATCGTGGTCAGTGTGCAAACCGGAAATGACCATCTCACCCTCAACTTAGAAAGAAATTCAGCAGTGAAGGAAAACACACCGGTGTATGTTGTCAGACACGTTGGCAACAACACCGTCATCGTACGGGATACGGTTATGAACATGGAGGTACGTACTCTGAACACGTACCTTTGCAGCTGATATTCCGTTTCAACAACCATGAACGTTGTTTTAACGGGCACAGAAAACAACAACTTACTCTGTCGCCCAGTTAGCCATCCAAGGTGTTTCCAATTTTTTTTATCTGTATTTTTCAAGTTAAAACTTCTTACCAAAGGACAATGAAATGGAACTAGATTTTTTCGTTATTACCAATAGTAAGTGAGTGAGTGTAGTTTTACGCCACTTTTAGCAATATTAAAGCTTTCCAAAGCGTTGAAAATACCAGGTAAAGCGATAGTAATCAGACGCCGGCAAATATCGATCAATATGTCAGATAGGATTGTCAAATGTGTCGCAAATACAAAAATGGACGGACGCCTTTATCCAGTTTTGTGCTATAGCTTTATCCGTTTCGCACATGCAACACGTTCCCCGTGACACCTGTTTCCAAGTTAGTTAGTTTATCAATTAAAATGCAGCCATTAAAACAGCCATGATGAGGCCATGACCATCGAGATATCACCTATCTCATTCAATACATTGAGTCTCGACCCATGAGTATCTGGGATAGAATTGATCTTCTGTAACCCATGCTTGTACGAGGCGACTAACGGGATCGGGTGGTCAGGCTCGCTGACTTAGTTGACACACGTCATTGTATCCCTTCGTATCAATTCAGATTGAAGATCGTGAAGATCGTGAAGATCACTTAATGTGTGCCTTTTAACAAGTATTCCACTAACAATCCCAATCGACGGTAAAATATATTGATGGCGTGTAACATGCTCGCGCGATTGAACAAACTTCGGATTTTAAGAAATCCCCAGCAAGCCATAGTGAAACGTATCTGTGGTGTCTTGGCAACATGTGTGCGACTTACTTTTTGAAAAAGATAACCGCAAATTACTATGTGTTTCCTTTGTTTTGCACTTCAGTTATATAAAAAAAAATTCCTTGGCTTGAGATATCAAAATTCATTCAACAAAAAACACTTAATCATGACATGGACAACATGCTTAAAAATAGCTCACCGACACACACTTTGAATTCTTTGAACCAGGAAGTAGTTACATGTAATGCGCAATATATAAATGTTCAAATAAAATACTCCCACTATGGGATACTGTAGGGAATATAATCGCGATGTCCAGCTTTGGATACAAATATGACAAAAACATACGAAAATGAGAACTAGAAATTTAGCAACGCAGAACGCTGTAAAGGACGTTCTCACAATATACACTGGATGCTTGTATTCGTGTTTTGAAAAGTCTTGAATTCGAGATTGTGAGATCGAGATGATGTCCCTTACAGTATTCCATACCGCACCGAGACCACTGAATAGCCTTCTATACACAAGCTGTTTAAATCCGCAGTTTAACACGCAGCTTTCCTCTGTTACAGAAAAGACCCACATCCTGGTTACTGAAAACACCCTCCTCGTTTTCCTACTTCTGTTGATTTTTCCAACAGGATATTGACTTATGGTTTGTTGTGTTCTGCCCTCAAGAGACACACATTCACACAAGTAGAACAGTTTATACATCTTTATACACGCAGCTTTCCTCTGTTACACAAAAGACCCACATCCTGGTTACTGAAAACACCCTCCTCGTTTTCCTACTTCTGTTGATTTTTCCAACAGGATATTGACTTATGGTTTGTTGTGTTCCGCCCTCAAGAGACACACATTCACACAAGTGGAACAGTTTATACATCTTTCCGCGAACGCCTACTGTCATAACCATCTAATGCTTGTAAACACACGCTTGACATCGTCCCAATATTAAACACTCTTCCTAATGCTGACGTTTTTATGACTACTGAACCGTTTCGTCGCTGTCATTAATTTATTCTATTAAACAGGGGTACGTAAAGTTGGTGATAAAATTATTAGTTTGCATTACAGCTTTGGAAATATTACTGAATGTTTCAAAGAGTCCGTATTCCGGTTCCTGAACTCTCCTCGGGTGGTTTTCGGGGTGACGAACGAACGCTGTAAACCACTAGGCCACCACACTGCCCTCAGTCTGTCTCACAGTCCCTGAACCACGTTATTTTCCATACAGCCTAGCCCTCCCTGCAATGCTAAAGCCCAAAAAGAAGCAAGTCTCCAAATTCACTGGGTCTCCTTTTCAATTTAAAGGATGTATCTGTTACTATCAAAATTATACATATTCAGGGACTAAGCGTTAGTCTACACCGGCCCCTTATAAGATGAGTTAAACTGAGGTGAACGTCGGGTTCCAAATCATTATCCATAACATGCCTGTGTGCATTAGTTGCTTGCAACAGTCCGATTTCGTCCGGTTTAATAGTGCCTAGATACCATGTTGCAGTATCGTTGATACGCCTCTCTGCAACATCATACTGACTCCGAGACGATTAGTTTTATTTCGAAATGACAACGCCCGTACCTGTCAAAAACAGGAACATGATCTTATATTGCCATTAATTGGTACGACGCGACCAGGTATTCATCATCGGTAATCTCCAGGGTATACTTTCCGATATATACAGTGTGCCCGTTTGTCCGGAAGAAAATTATATCCAGGGTGGCATTATAACCAGTTAGGACGGTTAGAGAACCTGTGCAATCAACAATTTGATTGAGCTGATGTCTCCTGTAGTGAGCCTTGAATGACTGGATAATCCCAGCGTCTTGGGGCTGCAGGTGATTTATTCAAGGTGGTAGGAAGTGTATCGTCACATGTGTTATCAATATCTGAGATTACAAGACAACTTAAAGCGTGAATGAGTTTGGTTAATTAATTTGAGCCATGTCATTTAAACAATTAAGGTACGTATACTACATGCAGCCAGTGTAATTGGCATTATAACCGAGCAAAATGACTTTTTGTTCCAAACGCCTTTGGCAAATGGCATTATTTACAGTTTGGCATTATAACCAGGGTATTATATAGGCAGGAAATCCGTTCTGGCAAAAACATGTCATTACATCCAGGATGGCATTATAACCAGGGTGCACTGAATCCACTAGTACCCTGGATGGATCTACGGTTCGGCCCCATGAATTACATTACCCCTGTTTTGACATATATTGGATAAGGTCGGGAATTATAGGGCAGATCTTCAACCCCATATCTAATCGTTCTTTGCCTCCATTACCCACCAGTTTCCGGTTCAACGGAATGAAGGGACAAGATGAAGCAGAAATTAAACAGAAATATCATAATGCCTAATTTTATCATTAAACTGTTAATTGATTCAACAGATTATTTGTCTGCCGTCGTTATTGATAGAAATTTCGTAGTATATATTCTTAAAAAATCACTTCACTGAATCACTGAAAGCAAGGGAATTTTCGTAATATATATTCTTGAAAAATCACTTCACTGAATCACTGAAAGCAAGGGAGGCAACTCACACATGGTTAATCTGGACGACTACTGTCATTTGCGAACTTTCCATGTGGCAGATATGTGATACAACATGTATAGTTAGAGTTAACTGCCCTGTTCACTCCGTTGAACTGGAAGCTGGCAGGGGTAATGGAGGCGAAGAAAGATTTCATATGCCACGAGTGACGCTTAAAATGTTTCATGAAGTATAAATTTACGTGAGTACTTATCAAAAGTAAGCTTGGAAATCTGAGGGCACAACCCTGTGATTAGATGGGTGTATATCTTTGATGGTGGCGATATTTTTTTACACTAAAAATATTTTTCGAACCGAAGCGAGGGAAGTACGATGATAATATTTGCTCTCTTTGTCATTTTTCTCTCTATTACGCAACCCTGTTTGCGCTACAGTTTGCCTCATTCGTGACCAACTCGTGTTATTCCGGGACAAGCCGAATAGCGACTCGTGCCCCTCTGTGAAGATGGAAGGAATTCATACTGGCGCATGAACATTAGAATTACTTTAAACAAGAACGATAACTCTATCCATGTTTGATTCCAATGTTTCTAAAAATCACCGAAGTACATGTACGTTGTATTCCTAGGTTGTTGTTTTTATTTTTTTTAACTTATTCAGAATTAAACCTCTTTGATGCAACTCAAAGAAGGAGAAACACATATTTGTTAAGGACATATTCTAATGTAATTATTACCAGCTGTTCACCTTATTTACAATTATGTTAATTTTCTTAATAGGGTTTAATCATCACAAATGGGAATTGTTTTATTGAAAATACCCCCCAAAAAATTCAGCTACATTAAATCCCAAAGCAGATACTCAAACATGACTTTAACATATTTCTCAAACTGAACATTCGTGTAACCTTGCTGTCACACCCCTGGTGGAATTTTAAATGAATTCGCTGAAAAAAATATGAATGACCAAAAAACAGTCAGACTAAAATATTCCCAGAGCTATGAAATATAAGCCAATGTTAAAGATTAAGGTTGATTAGTTTACGATATTATTGTTTTGAAACTCGTAGCGATTATTATTACATTTCCTAAAATTGGTCGAAGCGCACGGACAATCTCCATAACAAGCCCACAAGATTGTCAGAAATACACTCAGTTGGACTCATGAGAGCAGTTATGTCAACAAACGCACGTGCGTGTATTTGAATCTCTCACCGTCAATCGCATGATTCTTATTAAAACTTCATAATAGGCAGTAAAATCTTTTTAGCTACGTTCTTTGTACTTTCAATATGACGGCATATTTTTTTATCATTCTTTAAACAATGACATAATGCCATAAACGATTTAAGCACCGCGCTCATTTACGCGCGTTCTGATTGGTTTGTCGTATTTTCGCACATAACAAGTATCGAGTGGGGGACGAGTCTTTTTGGAGGTTACGGAAAGGGGCGAGTGGTGACGAATGAGTTTGCCTGTGATCCAGAAGAAGCTGACTTGTCACGCGACATTCCACAGATGCATTGTGGGAATGTAAAAATTGCGAGCGTTTTTTAATTGTGAGACATTCTATCCAACGAAAAACATAAACGCAATGTTCCAACCAGTGATATTAGCCGAGTGAAGCAACTACAGACCAAGAAACGAGGTGTTACGGAATGGTTTACT